GTTAAGTCCGGCCGCCTTCAGTCGGGGCCTAAGAGACGGGGGTCAGTTCAAACGGGGGTCAGCCAGGGCACCGGATCATGCAGGATCCTGCGAAGACCCTCTCTGGCTGACCCGGGTCAGCGAGCCGCTCGTGGCCGCGGCGCGGCCGCGCCTATTGGTTGACCCGGGTTTGCGAAGACCTGCGTTGCAGTTTTTTTCTTGCATTGCAGTTTTTGGTTTCCTGATGACCCGGGTCAGAAGATCCCCGACCCTCAAGTGTTAAGTCGGGCCTGTCCCTCTACAGGGGGAATCTTCAAAAATAGTCCACAAATAGTCGGGGGACTATTTTGGGAGTGTTTGTGGACCATTTTGGCGTATTTTTGGGGGGTATTTGTTGCGTAGCACCCCGCAATTGCGGATAAGAGTGAGGGGGCGGGCGCGGGCGACGCGGGCGTCGTCGATCCGGCGGACCTCGTGGCCCCACCTTCTTTGTCGATGGCGCTCTCCTCCTCCTCCTCCTCCTCCTCCTCCTCCTCCTCCTCCTCCTCCTCCTCCTCCTCCTCCTCCTCTTCCTCGTCCTCATCGTCATCGTCATCGTCATCGTCATCCTCCTCCACCTCCTCCTCCTCTTCTTCCTCGTCCTCCCTCTCCCCCCCTCGTCCTTTCATCATCGTCCTCCCATTGTCGTCCTCCCCCTCATCGGCCTCCATCATCGTCCTCCCATTGTCGTCCATCATCATCATCCTCCCCCTCCTCCCCCTCCTCGTCCTCCTCCTCCCCCTCCTCCCCCTCCTCGTCCTCCTGCTCCTCCTCCTTTTCTTTCTCCACATTATCCTTACATCCTCTCTTCTTCCGCGTTCTCCTCGTCCCCTGTTTACTCCTCCTGCCTCCCCCTCCTTTCCCAAGATAACTGCAACGCAATCCTTTTTTCCACTTTATGCTCCCCGCCTTCTCTGATCAAGGCAACTCGCCAGGGCAGAGTTGCTGGACGGGCTGGTGTGGATGCGCGGGGGCTTGAAGAGGTCCTTGCGGGCTCAGACGGCATGCAAAAATCCGCCGCCGCGCTTGTACAGCAATGGTTTGTTCAGTGAACGTGGTTTAGGTCGCGGGTGGGTCGCGGCCTCTCCACCTCCACCTGGAAGGAATGCAAAAGCAGCCCGCCGCAGGCGTCCAAATAATTGGTTTGTACACTAAACGTGGTTTGGGTCGCGGGTGGGCCGCGGGTTCTCCACCGGGAACGAATGCAAAAGATGCCCGCCGCAGGCGCCGAACAGTGTGGTTTGTACCCGGAACGTGGTCGCGGGTGGGCCGCGGGCTCTCCACCTGAAGCGAATGCAAATGATGCCCGCCGCAGGCGCCGAAACATGTGGTTTGTACCCTGAACGTGGTTTGGGTCGCGGGTTGGTCGCGAGTTGGTCACGGGGGGGGTCGCGGGCACTCCACCTGGAAGGAATGCAAAAAAAAACCCGCCGCAGGCGCCGAAAATGGTGGTTTGTACCTTGAACGTGGTTTGCGTCGCGGGAAGGTCGCGGGTGGGTCGCGGGGTAGGTCGCGGGTGGGTCGCGGGTGGGTCGCGGGTGGGTCGCGGGTGGGTCGCGGGGTGGGCCGCGGGAGGGTCGCGGGGTGGGTCGCGGGATGGGTCGCGCGGTGGGTCGCGGGGTGGGTCGCGGAGTGGGTCGCGGGGTGGGTCGCGGGTGGGTCGCGGGTGGGTCGCGGGTGGGTCGCGGGGTGGGTCGCGGGGTGGGTCGCGGGTGGGTCGCGGGGCGGGTTGCGGGTGGGGCGACGACAACAAACATCAACAAACAACAACAAACAACAACAAACAACAACAACAACAACAACAACAACAACAACAACAACAACAACAACAATTACTAGCACGTGGGGACACTCCGTTCTCACCAGTGCCAGGGTTTTCATAGGAGGCGGGCAATACCCCCACTTTGTGGGGGGGCCGGTTCAAGCTCTACCAAATTTCCAAACGACTCTTCGCCACCACCCACACCCAGCTTCCCGCCCTATGACGTTCGGACACTTCACTTCGTGGCATGCGGACGACCGTGGCTACTATTCAGGGCCCCGCGGCCGACGACGACGGCGTGCGCGCGCGAAGAAAAAACGAATGTGTCCCGCATGGTATTATTTGACAGGGATGATGGCCCTGGCAGGTGCGCAACCGTTGTTGCAGAAGTTCGAAAAAGTTGCTCGCAAAAGCCCGTTTGACAGAAATGTTTAAAAAGTGTTGGGTTTCCTACGAATCCGCAAGAGCGCGCGGGATGAAAGTTTGACATTTTTTTTTGAAAAACCATTGTTTTTTTGATGTTTTTATGTTAAAATCGCTACGAACACTAAGGTTTTGGAAGGATTTCGTCTTGCGCGCGCGAATGTCCACTTTACCTTATTTTTTGCAAGGGATTCTTGAAGTTTGGTTATGTTAGAACAAGAAATGTCCACTTTAGCTTTTTTTTTGCAAGGGAAAGCGGGCGTCAACAAAACAACCGGATCTGGATCACATCGTTTTGCCTGAGGCTTCCTCACGAAAATGATGAAAATGTGGCTGCGGCCTAGGCGCGGCGGGGGGGCCATGCACCAGGGGTCCCAACAATAATTATTCTTAAGAAGAAATAGTGTTCAACAACAGCGAGAATCCGCACCGCGGAATTCCACTTCAGCCACGCACCCAGGGACAGTGAATGACCGTTCGGCCCCGTCACTCTGATTATTCGTCAAAGATCCCCCTGTAGGGGGACACGCCCGACTTAAATCAAGTTTGGACGCCCGGAATGGGTACGGAAAAGCTGGGTACAATGCCCAACAACAAATGTTATCCCAAACCAACCAAACCAACAACGGCCGCAGTTGGGCAGGCGGCCTTCTGTTTCGGGTCGGCAGAGGCCGCGGCGGCGCGGACAACGAGTCCTGTTCATAATGACAGGAATTACTGTTGGGCATCGTACCCATTATTTCCGTACCCATGTCGTTCGTGCCGATCAAGCAGTGGCGAAGCGTTTTGGTTCGCTTATAGGCCCACCAGGGAATGCTCTCATCACACCAGAGAAAATACCAACCAGTGGACGGTTGGATGCGATCGATTGTGAGATCGACCGAGTGATATGAATAGTGAGGTCGATCATGAGCTCGATAATGAATCGTGGGATCGATAACGAGATCGACCAGGAATCCAGGAACCCGGAACCCACCGAAATCGGCCCGGAACCAGGAACGGGGGAAACCGGAACCGGGAACCCGGGAATTCAGCGGGCCACCAAAATCGGCTGATTTTTGTTCGCCTAATCTTTCAATATTTGCTAGGACCCTTCAGCGCAAGCACTGATAGGGGAAGGACCTTCTGTGGCCTGCAAGACATGTTCTTAGAACAGTTCTGGCTGAGACTGTCTCCTTTTGGCGCCTAGGGTTTATGTTCTAAAAGCATCGTTCTTGTTCTGAGAACAATTTGGGGCTTGAAGAACACTTCGTGGTGGGAAGATAGGATTGCCGGGACGGTCGGTCCCTGCAGTAGTACCCTCCCCCCCTTCGGGAGCCTTGCGACGGGGGTCAGTGCAAACGGGGGTCAGCCAGAGCTCCGGATCTTGCAGCATCCTGCATGGCCAGAGGCGCACTGGCCGAGGCAAGTGCGCAGGATCCTGCAGGATCCTGCCGGACCTTGCGGGATGCCGCAAGGCTTAAGTCGGGCCTGTCCCTCTACAGGGGGAATATTCAAAAATAGTAAAAAATAGTCCGGGGACTATTTTTCCAGTATTTTTGCCCATTTGGGAGTGTTTTTGGAGTACGTTTTATTTTTCGTCGAAGATCCCCCTGTAGGGGGACAGGCCCGACTGAACGCAAGGCCCGACTGACCCGGGGCTGGATTGGCCGGGGCAGTAGAGCCGTGGCCCCTGCCGCCGCCGCCCCACGAGCTGGCCGAGGGGCCAAGGGCCCGTGATGGGGCGTCGGCCTGCCAGAGAGTCGTTATCTTTTTCTCTCTTTCTCTCTCTCTCTCTCTCTCTCTCTCTTTTTTTTTGTTTTCTCGCTCTCTCTCTATCCGTCCATAATTAAGTCGGGCCTGTCCCTCCACAGGGGGGATATTCAAGAATAGTCAAAGAAGAGTCTGGGGGCTACTTTGTGAGTATTGTTTGACCATTTTGGAGTGTGTGTGTGTGTTTGAGTATTTTTTATCATTCGTCAAAAATCCCCCTGTAGGGGGACACGCCCGACTTGAATCTATCCATCTCTTCCTCTCTCTCTCTTTCTCTAAACGCGCTTTTCCTCGCTATCCCTCTTTCTTGGCCTCCTACGTGTCCTCGATGAGGTCGGAGCGGATGGGATCGGAGGGTCGCGCTGCATCGCCGATGTATCGACGATGCGGCCCGATGTGGAGACCGTGTTTCCCCACGCCGATGTCGCCGATGCATCACCGATACGTCGGCGATGTGTTGGCGATGCGGCGCGATCCTGCGACCCCATCTACTCGGACACAATCTAGGAGTCCTCTGCTCTCTCCCGCCGCTTCTACTCGCTGTCCCTCTTGCGCTGCCTGCGGCCCCGCCGCCGCCGGGCACCGCGTGGACGCTGGGCACAGCGCCGCGGCGCAGAAGTAAGTGTGTGTGTGTGTGCGTGGGCGAAAAGATTTGCGGAGGTTTGTCACGAGTCTCTACTGCGATCTGCCGATCACGGGTGCTCGTTTAACTACCTGTTTCTGATATCATGTCTACGCGTCCGAGATGGGGCCATACACAGCAATATGATCGGATGCCAGCGTGGAGTAGGTCACGCAACGGCGTCTCCCGATGTATTTCCCAATATAGTGCTATTGTGGCACGCAGTCCATGCTGCTCCATGCTCCGATTTGTCATGCCATTTAACTGCCTGTTCGGTTGTGTGTCTGTTGTACGTGTGAGTGTGTGCCTGTGTGTCCGTATTGCGCCTATCGTTTCCAGCACGCGTCTGTCGTTGTTGCTCGAAGTTGCGGCTGCTGCTGAATTCTCCTTGTTTTGACAGCTCTACACACGTTGCCGCACAGTATGGTCAAGCCAAGTTATTTTGTTGCAGAGCACCCGGTGAGTGGTGTCATCGCCTCGTCGGAAGAATACACCACGTGCTTCCTCGTGTCAATGATCAGTCTCGGCGAGATGAGGTCCCAGACCGAGCTCAGCGAGGAGACCGATTCCTTCAGCCTGCACAGCTTGACTAGGGATACGCAGGCTCTTCTGTGTGGGTATATGGAAGGTGGGGGATTGTGACGACGATTGGGATGGCTCATGGCTTGGGGACGAGGTGGTCTTGGAGACGATGCCTGCAGAGCAGTGTGCAGCACCATCGATTGTGCCAATGCCCATTGCATGTTGATGTGCACACACAGGGGTACCCTATGTGATCGAAGTTTGAATTGGATTCTACGGCGTTCGTTGGGCTTCCATTCTTCAGCTGCCTGCGGCAAACCCGCCACCGTGCCTGTATAACAACGCAGCAGGACGGAGACTGAGTGCAGTGTCTGCGCAAGTCCGACGACTGGTCTGAATTGCGACTGGTCGTGAAGTCGACCTTATCTTCGTTTGCGCCGTAGGGGTGACGCCGAGTTCACTCTGCTGTCCCGGTTAATAGGTACTAGACCATAACCATGAGGGTAGATATAAGACGCAAGAGCCGTCCCAACAAGACCATACTTCGGAGACTCAAAAAGCCTCAAATCGAGTAGCCAGCCGTGCATGATCCCAGGAACGGTGCATTGTCCCAGTACAGGGGAGCATCCCGCCGCAGACTAACGGACTGAGGGTCACGTCTCGTTGCAGTTCCGCGAGCGGGACGAATTGAGGCTGGCCGTGAATTCCAGCTCATCTTCGTCCGCGCGGTATGGAGGAGGAGGAGGAGGAGGAGGAGGAGGAGGAGCAGCAGCAGGGGGACCAGTGTAATTTCAAGACGTATCAACGATGTTGCAATAACCCCTCCCTCCAAGCTCCGTCTTCATGTGTCCCTGGACGATTTTATTTTCATTGTGGGAAACGCAACATTGGAAAACAACCGTCTGGGAATCCCAACTCGCGCCAACATACTGTTCCTGGGACTTCAGCGTCGCGAATCAACTTGATTGTTGATTCCTGGCACTCCTATACTGTGCCAGAATACCGTTCCCGGGACTTCAGCACCGCGAAAACACGTGGTTTTTGCATCTTGACAATCCTTAGTGCTGCTAGAACACTATTCCCGGACCCCGACCATGCGAATATTTGATCATGTTGCACAATTTCAAAACGAATGTGCGCGGCGCTGAGGCGATATCCATAGTGCTGCAAACTGTCAAAGCGAGTGGAATCAGCGCGGCGGGCAGGCGAAAGCCACCTGATTGAAATAGGGCAACCCTTGTGTTGCGAACTTAGATGACGAAGGTGCGTAACGCTAAATCGAGAGCCACAGTTTTGTAAACACACGCCCCCCGTCCGTGAAACTGATGCGAATGCTTAGGAATAGTGTGCGCGGCGCTAAGGCGATAGCCATGTTTTCAAAACGGCCCGCCCTCCATCTTTGAAATTGTTGGAACGTGTTCAAACAAATGTGCGCGGCGCTGAGGCCAGAGCCACATTTTGAAAACCACGCGCCCTTCATCGTTGAAATGTTTGCACGTTTCAAGTGTCAGTGTCATAAGTGGTGAGAAAGTCTCATTCGAAACGCCCGCCCCGCCCTGTCGTCATGTCTAGGGGCGCGACACGGGAGAGTTAGAATGAGGAGGAATTGGGGAAGAAATGGAGAAACATGAAGACAAGGAGGAGAAGGATTCTCAGGGGCACTCTTGGGGCTTCCTGGGAGCCTGTTGGAGACCTCAGGTGGCCTTCGTGGGCTGTCTTGGAAGCGTACCGAGACGTCTTGAGGCCGTGTGGGGGCCTCTAATACCGTCTTAGGCATTTTGGGCCGTCTTGGCGCCATCTTCGTTGTTTTAGAAGTTTTTTGGGGAGCCTCCTGAGCCGACTGGAGGCCGAAAATAGCGAAGGAGAACCAGAGTAGGGGGGCACGATTCTCAAAGGACGCGTGCGGCGAGGGGGTGGGGGGGCCAGCCCCAGACAACCATAGTTTTCCTAGCGACGGGCTCAACCATATGCAAAAGCGTGAGTACTACAAGGCAGGCAGGACGATTGCGATGGAGCTCCCTATGAAACCCCGAAGCGTGAGAGAGGTGCGCCGAAAAGGGCGGGGGGACGCATGCGGACTTTGCCACTTGGGCCTCTGTTGGAGCCTCCTACGGGACCTCTCGGGGGCCTGCCGTGGCCTCTTGGGCCGTCTCCAGAGGTTCTTGGCCCGCCCGACGCTTTCGGCGGCCGCCTTGGGGGCCGCTCTGGGCCATCTCGGTCTTGGAGCGCCTCGGGGCAGTCTTGGGGCCCTTTCGAGGGGTCCTTGGGCGATCTTGAGTCCTCTTGAGCCGACTGGAGGCCCTCTTTGGGGGCCTCATGGGCTGTCTTGGGGCTACTCTGGAGGCCTCTTGGGCCGTCTTGGGTGGCTGGAAGCCGGGTGTGCCGAGATGAGAAGCGGGAGCTCGTGCGAACCTTGCCACTGGGGCTTTTGGGGGAGCTTCCTGTGGGGCCACGACGAGTATGATGGTTGTGTCGAATTTCGAGGCGGGAGCTCATGCGAACCCTGCCACTGGGGCCTTCGGTGGAGCTCCTTGAGGGGACACCAGACGCGTGAGGGATCTGCCGAAATGAGGCGTTAATCCATGCGAACTTTGCCGCTGGTGCTTTGGGTGGGGCTCCCTATGGGGCCACGAAGCGTGTGAGGGGTGTGCCTGCATGACGATGAGTAGGGAGGAGAGGGAGGGGGCAGCAGGAGGAGATGAGACGCGAGGCGCTGCTGATTCAAAACGATAATCCAACACCACAGGATGGTTTGGGACCAAACATTCAGCCACCAAATGAGCATTCTTACACGCCCACTCCGTGCAGGCACCTTGGCGGATAGCGCAATCATGTCGATAAGTTGACTTGTACGCAGTCGGTGTTGCTCGCTTGCGCAACGGAAGGCAGTTGTGGATGACTTAGGGCGACGCGTGTACATGTATTTGGATTTATGGGGTCGGAATACGCGTGGGGTGTGTACAGGTATGGAGTATTGGCATGTGTGTAAGGATCATCCACGCGTGTACTCTCTCCAGATTCATTGGCTCGTCGACGAAATTTGTTTTTTGTGTAAATCATTCTACACCCATGAGGTGCATGATCGGTTTGGGAAGGGCGCAACGCTTCATTTCTTGATATTGTTTGCAGCGCACTTCATCTGTGCACTCAGTTTGCTGTCTTCGCCTCGGGCATCGCAGGCAGATTCCTCCGTGGGACGTTAAGGGGCCCCAGTCAGACCACTTTCGAGGAATTCGAGGGGTCTTCTGCCGTTCAAAGGAAAGGTGCCAACAGGGTCGCATGTCTCATGTGCTTTCGAAGTCGCCGAGGATCAGACGTCTTTTCACTTCCTGTTCGCGCGTGACGCGCGGTGAGCGCGAAGCTATACATTTGCGGATATGGCCGCAGGTTTCTGAAAGTTCAGCTGGTTTAGGGTTTGCTACCTGCTCTTATGGGTGGTTGTTCACGTGTGCTGTAATGTCATGTGGTAGCGTGCTTGAGCTTCTGGGAGTTCCGATGGGCTTTTACTCGGTTTCGCGGTGGCATGGTGCATTGAGGTATCGGGAACAATTGCCCCAACCTGTGTTTGGATTTAGATACCCTTACTTGTCTTCTGAGGACTTGGGCTCGTTTGTCAGGTCCGCCGCCTTGTTGCCGCCGTTGCCACCTCGTCGCCACCCGTCGCCCAGGCTCGTTTGTCGGATCCGCCGCCTTGATGCCGGCGTCGCCGCCCCGTCGCCGCCTCGTCGCCGCCTGTCGTCTGGCCTCGTTTGTGGGGCCCTCCACTGCCGCCTCGTCGCCGCCCGTCCTCTGGGCTCGTTTGTGGGGTCCGCCGCCCTGTCGTCGCCGTCGCCGCCCCGTCGTCGCCTCGTCGCAAAGCATCGATTATCGATTTTAACGAAAATTAGGATCACCCCCCTTTACTATTTTTAATAGAAAGAGTTTCCTTCGGAGGATGTATCGCGCGAGATGTCACCTGCGAGGATGTATCGCGCGACAGCGTGAGCCCTGATGCGAGTTGCATCTTTGACCTTTCGTGGCCAAGCACTGGTCTGCACAAGCCCTCTTGTGCGCCTTGTGCGCGGAAGCTCTTCGCTAGGAAGCTCTTTTTATTAAAAGTAGTACTTAACGGTCCTCCCTGTCGCATCGCATGTTGCATTAGATTCTGCCCCATCGTCCATCCGAAGTAGGACTTCGTACAATCCCAGGCAGGCCGGCAATCCTTCCCCCTCACCCGTTGCCAGCAATATGCGCGCGCATTCGTTCAGCAAGAATCATCTGTTGTCAACAATGCCTTGCAACATATGGGACGAAGTATGAACGCGCGCGTCGTCGCGCGCTCGTTCCGAAATCCTTCCAAATCGCCACGTTCCGTAACGGTTTCAAAAGCGAGCGTCCCCAAAACATGTTTTAAACGAAAAAATTGCTTCGCAACAAGGACTCCCCCCAAAGAAAAAGCGTGCACCCGCGCTCCTGCGAGTTCTGAAGAAAACCATAGGGTTCCAACGTTTTCATCAAATTCTGCCAAGCGGGCCTCTCGCGCCCTTGCGCGCGTGCTGTGTGGAGCGCAACCCGTGTCAAACAATACCATACGGGCTTCTGTCGCGCGTCGGCCGCTCGCGCATGCCGAACTCCGTCCACAACCCTCATCACCGACGCGAAAATGCCATCATCGTCGCAGGCATGATCATCATCGGCGCCGTCACTGGCCGTCCCGCCATCGTTGTCATCATCGTTACCCGCATCGCTACTAGTATAAACATCGCGTCTACCGTTGCCGTCGTTACCGCGCCCGCCCAAATCGCCGATTCGCATGTAAGTGTCCGCTGGGAAGTGCCCGGCGGTCAGCGCCACCGCGGCCGCGCCGGTCGCGCCAAACTAGCTCGCCGCTTTGCTCGCGAGCATGCGTGTTAGCGCGGCCGCGGCGATGCGCCAGCCAGCACCGAGCAGTCATCGCAGTCGCCGCCGCATGGCTTTTGAAAGCCAACTTCCGGGTGGGTAGGTAGGACGATTGCGTGGGCAGTGCAGTTGACAGTTGGAAACGTCCGTCCACCTGAGAAACGAACGCACGCCATCCCAGGCCGGCCGGCATCCCCCCCATC